CGAGACTGGGAATGAGACGCACCTTTTTTTCACGTCCATCAAACCGCTCAGGTGCTGACATGCCGAAGTTATCATGGAAGAATGTCGGCATCCATGACAGCCACAAATACCTGGGCTGGCAGGGCTTCCCGGCTTCCCCACTGAATAACATGAATCGAACCGTGAATGTACATGCTGTTCCGGCTGCGCAGGGTCTGTGCTATACCGTTGTTTTGATGCCCGAGATTCTGGCTGGAATGCTAGATGCTCAAAGCATGCTCCTGGCTCCGAAGCACCAAACGAAGGAAGTGAAGAACTCTGCCACGATAAGCCCTTGAACCGATGGATGCCTGCGGAGATCGGGCTCTGAGGGTAAGGTTAGGTCCGATGCTGTAGCTGGGGCAAGCCAGGGATTTGGAATTGTGTTGAACTGTCTTCAGGATTTGCACTGCGCTGTTGGGGCCCTCGTGCGTCCGAAGCGAATGTGCATGCATTGCTTCCGTCAATCCTCAACCCAACCCCACACGGCTCTATGACCCTAACATGTGCCGCGCTCGCCTCAGTAGTTGCGCAAAGGGCAAAGGAGCCAGACTTGGTGGCTCACGTCCTCGGTCTTGCTATAGATTCGAAGCTTCACTCTGGGCAAGAGCTTTGCTTGACTCGTTTCCATTGGCCAGCTGCCCCTATCAACTATCAGCTCTCGGTCTGGTTGCCTCCAATGTCTAGACCTTTGATGCTGGCCCCGTGGCGCTTGAGCATCTCCACGCTGCGGCGCTCCGCGTCGCTGATGTATCCTCTGATCCCCAGAGGCCCCATGGCATCCCCGAGTCATTGAGTCGTCCTCTAACTATCCTGCACACGTCATGGCATCTCCAGAACAGCCGCAAACCCGAACCCGACACCGTGGAAATCGGCTGCCCAGCGACGGTGGGCTTTGGGGCTGTCTGCACCATAAAATGCAAAGACCAAGCTCCAAAGCCTCAGCTTGCGTCGCGACACATTTTTGCGCTGAGACGGAGTTATAGCAACTGTGGCCAGTGTGGCAGAGCTGCATGCCCGCCGACCCGAAGACATAGAACATGATGCGCCAGTCCTTGCAACTTGCACCGGGAGCTCATGGAAGCCATGCTGGGGGCGCAAGAAGCCTCGTCTGGCTAAGCCTATGTTCCTGCAGAACATGCAGGGCCCCCATGCGACTAACCTAGTCTTGGGTGAAGTCAGAGCTTACGTCTCATGAGATGCACCAGCAGCCAAACACAGAATCTGACCAATCGAGGCCGGGTAGCCTTCTCCTTAGTTGCTCCAGCATCACAAGTGGCGGGGGAGATGTCGTTCAAAGCGCGTTTCCGCGTGTAAAAAGTCTGTGCGGATTGCACGGCTTCGGGCGATGCCGATTGGCTCTCTGCAGACTGACCCACTTGCAAGCCAAGAGGCCGTGACATGGGAGAAGCTCATTGACATGGCGGCTCCTATGCACTGGCCTGCCTGGGCATAATGCGCTTCGGTAAGCCCCTTGCTGCTACACGGCTGGCTGTGGCTCGAGGAAAAGTGCAGTGTTCAAGGCGTGGGACTTCTTTTAACAAACTGTCGCGGCAAAGAACATGAAAGGCTTGATTTAGCCATAGAAGGCAGCTCAGCCCACAAAGTCCCAGCTCGTACACGCTGGATTCCATCCTGAAATCTGAGCCCTGGAAAACCAACTTCTACCTTCAAAGCCACCTGCCGAGTAGCAACACCGATACTGATAGACCGGGCTTGCTGATGCTTCGGGAACCAGCTGGAAGTGATCTGATAAAGGCCTCGGCTGTGACGGGAGCGATGCCTCGCCCATTCGTCTCTGTGACACTTGCGGTGACTCTCTCTGCCTGATCCGCCTCCTTCCTCATCCACCACAGCCCTCAAAGCACACTTCATATGTGCGGGCCGAAGGGGCATGGCCCGGCGACTGCTTCGCCAGCACCAAGACCAACGCGGATCAGAATCAGCAAGGCCTGAAAGGAAAACCGTCAAGGGGATTCCTTCCCAGTCCAAACTACTAACGATTCATTCCAAAATGTCCTCCCACCGACATGACCCTTATATAGGCCCCCGAAGCAGAGAGTCGAGATCAGCTGTCATAGAGCCGAGTTTCCAAAGAGGTGTCTCCACAGATCCTCGGCTCCAGGGATAAGAGCTCATGTAAGATGAAAGCCTACATCAAGTGCTGAGAAGTCGCGGGGTAAGAAGGGTACAGAGTGACCAGAAGGTGCATCCCAAGAGCAACCTCAGCCACAAGGCATAAGGGGCGAGCCTTTCTTGGCAGACTTCCTAACGCTTGTACAAAGCCTCTTCATGCCCACTTGTGCAAAGTGCATGGGTGGGTTTGACCACGTCAGAAACTGGCCAGGACAATTTGAAGGTAGCCCCTCTTTAAACCGATATGTGCGTGTCACAGACATCCAACCGTAGCAACTTCGAAAGCAGCATGGGAGCGTCCAGTAAGCACCGAAGACGCCGGGAGATGCCAGGTAGCCAACGAAGAGCTCAGCGAGCGGGCTTTGACTTGCGACTCGCAATATACAGAGTCGTAGTGGGAAGCGAGGGTCTCTTGCACTGCCGACTTTTGACTCTTGGGACGACGGGAATGCGATAGGCGATAAGTTCTATCGTGCTTAAAGGAACAGTCATCACATTTCCTCAGATAAGGGCTTCACGCTTGATTCGTCGCTCCCACCACTCGATCCTCTGGTACATGATGGTCCAAAGCAACTCGTGCTGACGATTCCAGACAGACGCATCTTTCTCAATTCCGTGCTTCGAGATTCGAGTTGCAGGCACTGCTGCGATGGTAGCCGACATGTCCTCATACATGCCTCTTTTCAGAGGACAGCCAAGTACTGCTCTCTTTAGCACATCTGGCGGCCGCTTCGAGCCTGCAACCTTCTTCCTCCCTTGGCGACGAGTTCGGCTCTTACACTCGGCATAGCAGAGCTTTCAGCGAAGCGGGGTACGGCAATGCGGCGTCAAAGAATTCGTGCTGACGAGAGACTGACGATGGAATAATCCCCACATACACCTCAGGTGCGGTCAGAAAGCTTCGAGATCGGCGAAATAATTCCAGAACGTCCTTCCCAGAGGGCAAATGCCGACTGTTGAAGTTTTGCACGTGCAGCCATCCCCTAAACTCCATCCCCAGAATCCGCAAGCGACATGTTCCACACCATCAGCATCTGCTTGATGCTTCTGATATTTCATACCATGGACTAGCCTTGATATTGCAATGTCCTTGTCTTGTTACTCTCATACTACTATGCTTGTTGTTGTGATTGCAACTGCTGCTGCTGCTGCCGCTCCTACCACTACTACCACTACCACTACCATTACCACTACCCCGACCACTGCCAGTGCGACAACTACCACCATCACAACCACTACGACTGCTTCGACTACGATGACGACGACGACTACTACTACTGCCACCGTTCTTGTTACAGTTATTTGCAAATACTTACCTAGAAAGTACGGATGCCGAGTCGCTGCACTTTGGATGAAGCCTTGCCTCGAAAGTAGGGGGCGACATGCTCAGGGCTTTACCGGGGTTCGATTCTCACAACTCGCGGCTGGGCACAGCCTGTGAGGGCTTGGGGACATTGAAGGGCCAACATAGTGACAGTGCCGGGGCGTGGGCTTCAGAACAACAACAACAACAACACGTCATAAGATAAGGCAGTGGCTTTCTTATATCCTCAAAATTCAAAGCCTGTAAAACCCAGACAATCAGAGACTGAGCCGCATCGATTTGGAATAAGACCTTTCCTCGGCAAGCTCCAAGATGGCAACCTGGTGCGGGGTTTGGCCAAAGCACCCAGATAACTTTAGGTGCTGAGAGCTTTCCGCCTGTCTGATTCTCTGCTTCTTTTCTGGCCTGCTTATCTCTCAGTCAACCTCTCGTTCACTACTTTGACTCTTTTCTTCTTTCGAGGCGGCTTTTCTCGATGACTGTTTCTCATACAAACTCGGCCTGAAGGGCAGCAGATACACACACACACACAGTAACTACACAGAGACAACACACAATTCACGCGGCACTGTGCATTGTATCCAACAGTTTTAGGGAGGTAAGTTTCAGCTTGCCTGAACTTTTGGCCAACACTGCGCAAGACGCGTGACTGAGATTTTGGAGCTATGTCTCTTGTCTGCCGTGACACGCGACGAGACTCCTGTGAAGTTTGCTGCGATCGATTAAATCAGTAGTTGCAGGGTGCTAAAGCATGTAACGCTCAGGGTTCAAGCACGAATCCCGATTCACAGTTCGGACTACGCTCGCGTGCCTTGGGCTTTACCATGGAGGAAGGCAGCTATGTGCTCGTGTGCTCGCGCATGTTTCCTTCCGCTCACAGATTTCTGAGCCTGAGTCTACAGCTCAGTAGGCAAGGGTGACTCTTTCGTGATCAGAAAGCTCTAAGGGCCCGAGCCGAGATGTTGTATCTGTCCGCGTAGTTTAACCTTTGGTTCTCACAGTGCAAAGCCGCTCTGCTGGGGCTTGACTGGGACTCGAAGTTAAGGCAAGCAGCAGATACATTGACAGCATCATGACGGTCATAAACCTGAGCTGGCAAAATCAACCGAGAACTTCCCAGCTGTAAGCAGAGGCTGCTGGGCCTTACAGGCAACCAGGGCTAGGTCACCCTGTACATTCGTCTCCAGGCCGAACCCAGACATGCCGTTTTACGCCGCCACTAGTCGGGACAGCTTGGCATGACACGGCTGGCCCCTGCAGCGAAGTGCACACTGGAAGCCACCCAAGAATGGTCCTAGTCGCATGCGCCATGTTTGCGGTGCTCTTTCGTCTGTTGCAATGTCGGAAACAACCTGGCAAAGGGAACCAGCAACCACGCACATGCAGCAGCAGCAGTAGTAGCAGGAGGAGTGCAGTCCGATTGATGACGCGTCGCCAGCATGCATGAATTGCTGAGTGACATCAGGCTGGCCATCAGCGGTCTGACCGATAACGATCTCAAACATGAAAGCTCGGCAGGGGCATCAGACCCGCCAATCAGGTAGTTCAGCACTATCATGACGACGAGCAATGCCGCGCCTGAAAGCTCCGAACAGGACCATGCAACTGGACTCATCGAGGAAAAAAGGCATGGATCGGAACTCGCGGACTCCATGCTGGGTGCTTTGCCCATGCACTTGGTGTCAGCTATCATGATAAGGAAGCCTGTTGTTTACTCTGCATCCCTCTTGTTCTGTCTTGAAAGTACGTAGTTCCTGGACAAGAACTCAGTCTCAGGCACCCCGAATGACAGAACAGTGTTGAAAGCTTGATGTCGAAAGTATTTGCCGTGTTCTGCTTCTGCTATGTAAGCCCGTAAACACCTGGTAGAGTCGCGCGAAACCATATCAAGTTATGAGATCCTATGACGCGATGAAACCCTCATGAAAACCCTTGCGACACCCGGTACATAAAACCTACAACACCCTGATTCAAGACCGTCGCAACCCTTACAGACAGAGCCCTTGGCTGACGCCCGAGCCTATGCCGACCATGGTACCTGTGGAGACTTCCTTGACGGCCGCAGCCTCCTCATCGCAAAAGGCAGCATAAACAGCCCTCCGGTTAAAGTGTATGATAGTGTATGTATGTATGTACGTATGTATGTATGCATATATATATATATATCTCTCTCTCTCTCTCTCCAGGGCATGGGGACGGGTCAGCGTCCCCGGGCCAGAACGGCCCACCCAATTTATATATATATATATATCTCTCTCTCTCTCTCTATCTGT